CAGAATTTCATATGTATCATAAAACGAGTAATGATGAAATCGTAGAAACCTTGAAAGATAAACTTCTTAGTGAAATAGTAAGCACTAGTAAAACGAAATAAATACTGTAAATATAAAGTTCCAGTAAAACGTTTGGTTGACATATGAAACTTACTAAAATAATGTAATTCCATAAAAAGTAATAAGAAATTTTTAGTGAAAGATGAAATTCCTAATCAGACCTAAAAAGACAATTTCTAATGAAACAGAAACATTTATAATAAAAAAAAACTATAGTAAAATGGCAAAAACAGATATTTCATTATTTTTCTTGATTCATAATTGGTGGTAAGCGAACAGCTAAAAGAAGTTAAAGGACTGGTCAGTACGTTTGTACATTTTTGTGATGCAATTTAGTTTAATTATAAACTTCTATCGATGCTAATACTTATGTATCGCCAAAGCTCTAAAATTTGTTGAAGTAGTCGATATGTTTAAAGATCGAGATTGTGAAATCAATAGGACCGTTCGAAAATATGGTTTAAATTAAAAGCTAATTCAAATAAAAAAAAAATATAAGAAATGAATCAATAAAGTAATTCAAAATTTTGAGTATGAAATAAAAAAAAATCTAGTTTTTGAATTGATACTCTTTAATATAAAGTGGTTATTAATTAACCAACAAAAATCTGTTTGGCTAGAATCAAAGAACCAGCTTTGTAAAACCATTTATAATTTCGATCTTTGCTTTAACGTGTTTTATAACTTGCTCACAGGCTCGAGGCTTTTTAAATTGAAAAAGCTTATTTCATTTAAAAAGAAAAAAACACATTATTGTAATAGCTTAGTGTTGCATATTTATATTGTCAAAATCACTTCTAGAGTAAGTTGGTGGAATAACTAGATTTGACTGGATCTTAAGCGCTATAAATATAACTGTATTTTTGCAATAGAAATCAGATTAAATAAATTTATAGATTTCAGATCGTATTACATTACACTAAACTATAAATCACAATTTCTTTAATATAAATTGCATTCATATAAAGAGCTAGAATATGAATTGAATAAAGCAACTTGCGTGGGTTCAACAGAAGCTTTTATTGAAGGATAGTAAACATTATTATCAACTTTTGACCTTCACTCGATAAAACTTTATCTGTATTAGAATCATTGTCTTCGCGACTCAAATTCTTGTTGTTTGTGTCTCCTGTGGTATCCCCATAGTAAGCTTGTTACGTAATATTGAGCTACAATTTATGTTTAAAAGGTTCAAAAAATTATTATACTTTTTATTAAATGCCAATTTTATCGCTATCCTATTAATAAATTTAGGTTTGTTTGTTAGGCATTATTTTTTCAGTTACAATGCTCGAGAAAGTACTTCTAGATTAATTCCATTAGCATATAAATGCAGTAACCAGTATAAATTAATACAGTATATACATACTGTATATACACATAAATATCATTAAACAATTAATAGATGCTAATAAATGAATAAACGTTAATAAAATTTTAAATAGCTTTAAAAAAATTTAGATTTCTTATATACAAATTATTAGCAAGGTGATGATTTCCCCCAATACATTGATTATCCTTACAATCATGAACAAAATGTACCACTTTAGTCATATTAACCATGCTTATAGGAAATATTTTTTGCAAGTTATTTGTTGTTCGTAATTTGTAGACTGGACAACCTAGCTTTATTTGTTTTGTATCGGCAAACCAATCTATAATTATAAAGGCGAAGTAATGTCCATCCTTCTTATAACGAAATATTGCACATACAATTGAGAAATTTTCACCTTCATTAAGATTAATCAAGATAACGTCTCCAACATGTAAATTGCATTGGATGGGTTTATTATTATTTTCGACAACAAAACTTGTATGCTCAAAGAATGATGGCACTTTATTCAAAGCTGCAGATGAATGTCTTGAATCTTGTAATAATTCGAATTGTGCTTTGAAATCCGATAGTATCGATTCTTTAATATTTCTTTGTGGAATTCGTTTTTTGAATGAAATTTTAACATATTTATCTGACGAATGAATATAACATTATGAACTAATTCAATAAACGTATTTAAGATACCACTGGCAGTAGTGTTTTGGAAGAATCTAAAAAAGGAATTTATAACAATGGACCCTTTCAGCGGTTCAGTCTTTTTAAAGCAGTGCGATATTATAATAATTTTTCTAAATCCTATAAAGCATTTGTATCACTATATTAAGGTAAATATAGTACATATACGTATACAAATGAAAAGTCTGAATCGCTGAAAGGCCAATAATTAATATATACGTAATCAAGTGCATTCTTATAAATAATTGCCTTTTTTAGATTCGTCCAAAACTGCCAAGTTACCACTCATACCTTCATCTATGTCATCCTCAAAATTATCAGGTTCATTAAAAATAAACCAGTTGTTTATTAGGTGCCGTAAGTGCTGAGGAAGGCTAGTTAATGCATTGTTTAATGATGGAAAGTGCATATCTATACCACCTTCTAACAAATGACATATTGCAAACAAGATATTATAGCGTTTCAATAAATCCAACTCCACATTTTTTCGATTTGTTCGTAGTACAATATTTTTAAATATTTTATGGACCATTTTCTTCGTTTCTACTCCAATATTCAACAAATTTGCATAATTTCTGGCATGTTGAGCCATGTGAAAGTTGATATGCAAATTCGGAAGATTCTCAAAATCTTCAAAGGACTATATATTTTTAATGATAAAGAAATGAATAAATATCAATACTACAGGGTGAAGCCCGCATCTAGGTGGTTATATTATTGATGCCTATCACTAAGAATTGCACTAGTGTTTAAAATTAATGTTCTCAGAGTTCTTATGAGAACACTATTATAGATTCGTGCGTAGTCTAAATTTTTACTGCTTACTACTAAAAATTTTTTGATAACAGTAAAATAATAATAGTGTTTTCATAAATATGGTAAAATGGCCACATCATTACGTTAAGTCAGAAATTGATAAATATAACTAATTGTAATACTATGATAATTTTGATAAGAAGTAGTTGTATTAATTTAATTTAATACTATTTAAAAGTATCTACGTATTTGTAATACATATCATTAATTTATAATTATTTCGATGATTATATTTAGTTTTTTTTTTTTTTTTTTTAATCGAATTTCTGTGAACATAAAACAGCTTGAAAACACAGATTATTATTATAATGCACTCATGAGAACAGTATTTGAGTTTGAAATTTCAAACACTGAATTGCACCGTCCTAATTATTTGTGATATATGTGATTTGTTAAATACCTGTGCTAAAATTTTTCGTTCATAATCTAGACATTCTTGCAGCTCATTGTAATCTTCTTCTGTAAAAAATTTTTTAAATGAGATTGTCATTGTTTTTGATACAGCTATCCAACATTCTAACCAGGCTTTTATAGCCAAATCATCACGTGAAATATCCAAGCATCGCTGTAATTTGTGCACCTCTGATCGTTTGAAATTTTGAGTTTTTAATAATCTATTAAGAATAAAGGGAAATACCATTGCCAATCTTAAGCAATCAGACATCATGAAGCTGTCAATATGTGAAATTAGATTCGGTAACTTTGACCAATTTCTAGGATATTTGGATGATTTCCAGATTACAATAAATTCGGATTTTCCATTCGTCGAAAGTGCATTGATTGTCAATTTAAGAAGCCTCAAATTTTGCCTTCTGTTGCATGATATACATCCTGTGGCGACTGAAGATGACTTTCCTATTGCAATTGATTAAGGATTGGGAAATGCAAATGTAATCCATACTCTGTGGCAATTTCTTGGCGCCTTGTTATTGTTGATGTCGCAGAAATCTCTTTATATTGTTTATTTGTGAAATGCTGATAATGATTATTTATCAATAAATCAACATTATCATACGTCCAACAATTTTTTGTTAGGTTGCAAGTACGGCAGCCCCTTGTGGCATTATGTTTTTTGACTTCAACCATGTGATTCCCTTGAGGCAGGTCGGAAGTTATATCTCTGAGGCTTGCAATTATGAGACTTAATGTGCCTTGTATATTCATTATTTTTCTTTTTTCTAAGTCTTTCATATTAGCTATAAAAGGGTAAATAAATTCATTAAAAAAACTACCAAAGGGTACAAACCCAAGTACAAAATGATTCTTAAGTTTTTTTCTTTGGTCAAATATCATATTTCCAATTTGAACATAGATGCTTCCCAGTGAGTGATAAACATTGCGGAATGTTCTGAAGTCATCATAATAAAGATCTATATATAGCTTATAACCCGGCAGGCTTGTGGTAGGTTCTTTTAAAGCAGCAAACTCTGAGGGATGCTTGTAAGAATAAGCTACACTTCTTAATTTCCATTTATTATTACGCTTATATAAAATCTCACAGATAACAATTGAAGAATCCTCTTTCATTGTTACATTATTATCATACAAAATAGTAACCATAATATGCTTAACGACTATTTGCAATTCAGTAAGCATAGTCACATTATTCATGTTTCTATCTAGCATCCATACTTTACCTCTCATTGACCTTTCTTTGCGACTATTACTTTGCATGTTTTTTGGCAATTCTTTAAATATTAAAATGCGTTGAACATTAATATTAAGGCTACTATTTTTTTGAATTATCAATAAAATGCGTCCGATCCTTTTTGTAGTAGATTCCCGATAAATTATGAAATCACCAGAATAATATTTTACTATAAAAGAGAATAAAGATATTATTATTTAATTGTTATATATATATATTTTTTTTTTAAACAAAACTCAATGCTTAAAATTACCATCGTTTATAATAACTGACTCTTGTCCAAATCGTGGAGATTCTTTCCAAATGTTACCATGCCACAGTTCATAATTTTTTGTAACATTTTGGCCTGGGCCAAAGTACATTTTATTAAATATAGAAGGATTATTGAGAGTATACCAAATAATGTCACAAACAGACAAATAATAGGCCTTCTTAATATTTTTTGACGTAGATGGCATTTGTTTACTAGAAATACGAATTTGCTAAGTCATCATAAGCTTGAGTGGCTAATACAAAAAAAAAAAAAAGAAATTAGAAAATAAAATTTATTGTTACTAAATTATTGTAAACCTGTAAACCTATATATATTATGCTTTTGAACCCAATAAAATATTAACGCTTCTGTAATATTGCTGAAATATAGTGCGAATTCTCTATTAATATGCAGCATATTTTCATTATTCAAAGGTTCATCAACAATTTCTTTATCAGAATTGTCCTCATTCAATACATCATTGCTCAAAACATTATCTTTGCTCAATACATCATTGCTCAAAACATTATCTTCGCTCAATACATCGTTTTCGCTCAGCCAATCATTTTCACTCAATATATAGTCTTCGCTCAACATATTGTTTCCACTCAGCATGTCATCTTCGTCGTCACTCAGAATATCGTCGTCACTCAAAATATCGCCTTCTCCCACCATATCGTCTTCGCTCAATATATCATCTTCATATAATATATTAGTATCAGAATTATTTTTAACCAACATATCATCAGTATCTTTGCTCAACATATCATCATGTACCAATTCACCACAATTATCATTAGAGAGGCTTATTTCAGTGGTTTTCTCATTTAATACGTCATATTTGGTTGTGGTAAGAATATGAGATAGACATCTTATATAATTTTTACAAGGTTTAAAGGAAATATAATGATTATGAAACATTATGAAAATGGTTAAGTTAAAAGCTGTAAATCGAAAGTTTATTTACGTAAATAAGTTTATTAATTTATTCAAACATACTGATCAAAAAGATGAATAGAAATGTATAGTTATTAAGTAATAAATATGAAATTTTTTTTTAAAAAAAAATTTGGAAAGCATCAAAAAGTACCTTTAGTACCCTTAGTACCTTTGATTTCGCTATTACTTATATGCAACTTTATTATTACAAGTACATTTAAACTCCATACGTATATAAATATGCTTCTATTATTACTCTTAAACTTTAAGAAAATCATAAGACTAAATATGTAATAAAAATTCATTTTAATATTGTA